CCGCCGCTCGTTGGCTGCGCTGCACTTGCACAGCCCCCCCCCCCTCCTCGCGCCCGTGCAGCCACCCCCCGAAAGCCCTTGTGTAAATTGACATTGAGTAATCAAGTCAATGCATATGGTGCAAAGGTTTTGCCCCTGCCATCTCACACCTTGTGATCTCCCTCCGGGTCGTTGAACAGCCGGGCCTGCGCGCGCCGCGTCTCCGCGGGCAGCGCACCGTACACCAGGCACGCCTTCTGGTCGCTGCTCTGCTCAACCTCCTGGAGTGTGTATGTGTGTGTTTGTGTTTGTGTGTGTGTATAAGGGTGTGTATGTGCGTTTGTGTGTGTGTGTGTGTGTATGCATGTGTGTATGTGTGCATGTTTGTGCATATGCTGTGAGTGTGTACGTGATGTATGTCTGTGTGCGTGCGTGTGATTATGCGCGCGCAAGCGAGCATGCGCGCGTGTGTGTGAGAATGTGTGTCTGCAAGTGTGCGAGTGCGAGCAGGTGTGTGCAGGTGTCAGAGCCCCCCGCCAGCCACCTCCACTTCCATGCAACCAGGTCCACACCCATCGGCGAACGACTGTCGTACAAGGGAACAACGTCATGTTGGGGGCCGCCCCCATAAGCCCCTTCCTCCCCAAGCCCAGGCGTTGCGCCACTTCAAAAGGCAACACGTCAGGGCCCCTTCCATATGCAGCTGCGCAGGCCCCCGCAGCCGCGCCGCCAGCCGCGGCGCCGCACCCTCTTGATATGGTAGAGCTGCTGCCGGCTGAAGGCCACGATGCAGTCGCCCGGCTGCACGTCAGCCCAGCCCTGGGGCAGGCAGCCCTCGTCCACCGCCAGCGGCGTCATGCGGTCATACGTCTGTGAACACGTGGGGTGCATGTGCGTGCGTGTGCCCGTGCGGAGGTGTGCGCATACGTGTGTGGAGGTTGCAACTTTGCGAAAAATGCGGCGTCGGCAGCTGCGGGCTTGGGATCAAGGGCGTTTGCAAAGAGTCACAGGACGAGGCACAGGAGGCAAGGCTGAGTGACGAGCCCTGGAGGGAGGGTGTGTGACGCGCCCAGGGCGAGCACATGAGCAGCTGTTCTCATCCATGGCGACGCGTCCCTTCACCCCACTCCACCACGCCCAGCTCCCCCCTTTGGCGTCTTGCGCCCCGCGCAAAGCCCCCTGCATCGCAAACGACCGTCGAAACATCCCCAAACCACCCCCGCCCCCATCAGGCCCTGACGCACCCTCAGCTCGAACTCGTCGTCACACACGGCAGCCAGCTGCCTGATGAGGCCGACGGCAGACAGGTCCCCGCACACGTGGATCTCGTTGGCGGGCAGGCCCAGCACGGCGCGCGTCCACGCAAAGCCCCGCGCAGAGTCGCCGATCATCTGGGTCCCGCGGCGCGCGCCGCGCGGCGTGCGGCGTGCGTGAGGCGACGGGGTGTGTGGGGGCGCGCACGCGTCCAAAAGCGTACGTGCCGACGTGCATGCGTGCAAGTGTATGTTGTGTGTGCATGTGTCTGCCCATACATTTGCTTGCATACAGACGCATGCACACGCACTCCAGCGAAACGCACCACAACACACAAAACGTGAATGACACACACAAAACCCTTGGCAGCACGAGCAGCCGCGCACTCCCCCACGAGCAACACAGGGAACCCCCAGACCTGGATCTCGTCGACGACGGCGACGTCCGCGTGCGTGTTGAGGCTGACCATCTCCACGGTGCACGCGACGTGGCCAGACCCCGGCACTCGCAGCACCTCCTGGCCCGTGACCATGTCGCAGCGCACCCCGTCGGCGTTGAGCTGCTCGTACACCTGGAGGAGGGGGGGGGCGAGGGGCCATGCGTGTGTGGGTGTGTGCGTGCGTGCGTACGTGCGTGCCTGTGCATGCACGTGTGTGTGTGTGTGTGTGTGTGTGTGCAGAAAGAAGAGTGCACGTGTTTCGAGACCACACAGTTCCAAAGGGGGGGGGGGCGTTGCGATGAATGCTGGCATCCTTGCCGCCAGTGGGGTGTCATCACACGGGATTCGGCGTTGATGAGGGCAGCAGAGGCATGTGGCGCAGGGCTGCTGAGTGGCACTTCCCGCATGGGAACGTGAGTGCGCACGAGTGCCCACACACACGCATGCACACGTGTGCGGGCACAAATACACACACGCAAACACATGCACACACACACCCACATGCGTACACACGCGCGCGAGTGAACACGAGCGCCGCACACGCACAAACACACCCACAACCCACACCCACATATGCTCTCTTGCACATTCCCGCAAAGAGAACGGAACACACATCACACCTCCATGGCAAGCAGCCTGAGCGGCCCGCAGTACACCCCCCGCTTCGCCGACGCCAGCGCCTGCAGCGCCTGGTAGGTCTTGCCGCTGTTGGTGGGGCCTGCCATATAATCCAATGGTTGCGCAATCGAGCAGCAGGGGGACGGCTCAGCCTTGAGGGGATCCCACTGGCTATCCTGCCATGTCCAGACAACCTGCGGCCCCGGTGAACAAGGGCTCGCCCCCCCCCCCCTGCGACAAAGCGCAGCGCGTCCGCACGGCCGCGGTTCGCGGGCCAGGCCAGCGGCGCCGCCCACCTCCGTGATAGATGATTTTCCGGTGGATGGAGCGCGCGTACGGGTACCAGCTGTGAGGGGCGCGCATGTCCATCGTGGCCGCGGCCTTCTCGTAGGCGGCCAGCTGCGCGGGGTAGCTGTGGCGGCAGAATGCCACGAAGTAGTCAAACAGCACGTCCTCCGCCGCAAGGGAGTAGCTGCGTGTGTGCATGTGTGTGCATGTGTTTGGATGTGAGTGTTCACATGTGTGCTTGTGTGTGCATGTGTGTGTGTGTGTGTGTGTGCGTTGGCGTTTCCCGGGACATGCGTGAGTGTGTGGGCAGGCCTGTTGAGGGGGTGAGACATGCACGCAGTTCAGGCTTAGAGGCAGCGGCAATGAGATGCGCGCCAGCGATGGTGGAACCAGGGTTGCGCCGGGCCAGGCCGCGCCGCACCCTCAAGGGACAGAGGTGGCAGCCGCTGCATTCAACCACTCCCCTCTGATCCTGCCGCGCCGCACCTCTGGCCGCCCGTGACTGCCTCGGCCGCGTCCGGCGTCGCCACGCGCAGCAAGAACTTGCGGAAGGCGGCCGCCGCGCGCGGGAACAGGTCGGCGCGAATGAAGGCGCCCAAGGCCCTGCGGCGGCGCCGACGGATGGAGCCTACATTCGAGCAGCGGCGCCGGCCCGCAAGGCCCGCCCAGCGCCCTTCAACAGCAGATATGCGTGCGCTGCTGGCAAACTTGGTCGGCCTTGCGGCGGCGGCACCCATGTGCAGAGACGCTGCCCGAGAGTGGCACCCCTGGCGCCGCTGGGGATGGTGGCGTCCGCTCGTCCAGCGGGTTGCGCAGCGGCCGGGTCACTCACCTGTCTCGCACCCTGCTGCTGATTTGAAACCGCTTCAGGACGCCGCTGAGGCGCGCCTTTGTCCCAGCGGGCAGCTGCGGCGCCGCCTGGCCCTTGAGCAGCTCCCGCTCCGCCGCCAGCAGGTCGTTGAAGGATGGAAGCTTCCTGGCAGCCGCCGGCTGGACGGCCTTTGTTGGACCTGCTTCTTCTCGTCGCTGGCTGCCGCCGCCGCTGCCGGGCCCTGCATCCGCATGGCCCACAGCAGCGGCTGAGGGCCCTTCAGCTGCTGGCTCCACCGGCTGCGAGGGCTCGGCGGAGAGCGTCGCAGCACTCGTCGACAGCAGCCGGGTCGCTCCGAGGCCGCCGCTGCAGCCGACGGCCCAAGCGCCGCCGGCCGCAGTGCCCCCACATGTGGTTGGTGTGGAGCAGCTGCTGCCGCCGCCGAAGCCGCCGCCAGCGCCCACACCACCGGGCCGAGGGACGCTGGAGGAGCCGCCTTGTTGCTGACTTACTATATATAAGAGCTGATTGGCGGCGGCTGAGCGGCCCCGCTCCACCAGGTGGCGGAGCAGGGCGGGCAGCAGCGATGCGCCAGTGTGCGCCGCCGTGCGCATCATGCAGTTGAGAAGTGCCCACCCACGTTGTTGCCTCTCGCTGAGCGGCGCGTTAAAATGCAACCATCAACCTCAAGTCATTCAGTGGTACGGATGCTAGTATTCGCTGCAGACTAGCGACTGGTCAGATCACCGGACTGCTTGATGAACAGCGAGGACGAGGTATAAACGCGTGTGAAAACGCCTTGCGCCCTGCATCATGGGCGATAATTGCGATTTCACAGGTGGTTGCAGCCAAGTGTTACCTCGAGTGACATCCCGTCTATGTCCACAACCACTTACGCAGCTTACATTGCTGCCAGGTGTACTTCGCATAACATTGCTGCCGTACATACTTGCGCCACTTCTACGCCGGCAAAGGGGCGCAGCAACTGGGCTGCTTTCTCCTCGCAAGGGAGATAGCGAGGATGCAGTCTGCATCCGGTTATTCAAGGGGCACCGCAAGCCGAATGGGCGTGGTGAGCGGCCGTATGGCTCGAGTGCATACAGCCATTGGTTTGCTGCACGCGCCGTATTGCTCATGATGTCGTCAAATGCACGCAGAGGTCTGGCATGATGGTTGGAACGCGGCTCCTTGGCGCGCGTGCCTTCGCGCCGGCGCTGGGGCGCACGCAGCGTGGCCTCGCCGCTCATGTGGTGGCCAAGGCGGCCGGCGGTGGCAAGGCAAACAAGTCCAAGGGCAAGAAGGACGAGGGCGGTGAGCCCTGATTGCCGCATGCGCATCCAGCCAGCCATCGCCCCAGCAGCGATGAAATTGCGCAGCAGAGGGAGCGAGCGGTGGTCTGCAACTCGACGACCGACAACCTGCTCTGGGCTGCTCATGCACGTTGTGCGCATGCGCGCCCGGCTGCATGCAAACGGGGACCGAGCTGCCGCTGGCGCAATTTTCAAACGCTCGCTCGCGCGCGTGCGGCGGCTGCGCAGGTCCCTACACGGCCACGGTCAAGGTGCCGGTGACCGAATTCAGCCTGCGCGCCAACAGCGTGGTCCGGGAGCCGGAGATCCAATCCTACTGGGCGCAGAACCGCGTATACGAGTCGCTGGCAGAGACCAACACGGGGGTGAGCGGGCGCACGCACTCCGCCGCGGCATGGGTTTCAGGGGTGCTTGGAGGGCGGGGCCCAGCGCAGCCGGCGCGCCGGCGGCACGCGTTGCGAGCATTTGAGGCGGAGCATGCGCATGGCCGCCCTGTGAGGGTGTGCGCGCATGGCAAGTTTGACCTGGACCGGCCAGGCCCGCAGCTGGATGGCAGAGGCTGGGGTGCGGATGCTGCGTGAATGGTGTTCACAGCCCTCAACAACACAACTCAGTGGCCATCTGGACTGCCAGTAGCGGCAGCGGCCGCAGGCCGGCAGCCGCAGCCCTGGTCTGCCCAGTCCCGACGGCGGCAGGAAGAGCTCGCGCACCCTTGCCGCGCCGGCGGACGCGCCTTGAGCGATTGTTTCCGTCTGCGACGCCCCGGCCCACAGGAGCCTTACACCCTCCATGATGGGCCGCCCTACGCCAACGGGGACCTGCACACCGGCCACGCCCTCAACAAGGTGCGGCGCGCGCACACAGCCCCGGGCTCGCCGACGGCGCCAGCGCTCTGCCAGGCGGGGGCGCCGACACCTGGGCAGCAAGAGCCATCGGCCTCCAGTGCCTGGGCCTTTGCCGTCCAGGGGCTGCACTATTCGCTGACCTGACGCCGCCGCATGGCTGCGCCGTATTGACCACGACCCGCGCCTGCCGCCTCGCTCCGATGTTGGCATGTTCGAATTCAAATCCAAACGCCGCACCCTCGCAGATCCTGAAGGACATCATCAACCGCTACCAACTGCTGCGGGGCCGCCGCGCGCGCTTCGTGCCCGGCTGGGACACACACGGGCTGCCGATTGAGCTGAAGGTGCTGCAGGGCATGAAGGAGGCGGAGCGGCGCGGGCTGGACACGCTGGGGCTGCGGGCCAAGGCGCGGGAGTACGCGCTGGACCAGGTGGACCGCCAGCGGGAGCAGTTCAAGAGGTGGGGCGCGGGGAGGGGGTGAAGGTGATGTGGGTAGGGG